TATATATATATATATATATATATATATATATATATATATATATATATATGTTAAATATCACACGAATGAGATCAAGCTCGCTCACTTATTTATTTATTTATTTATTTATTTATTTATTTATTTATTTATTTCTTGGCACAGCTACAGAATACAAATTAATATAAATATTGATAATATTAGATATGATAATATATAATAGAAAGTAAATTTGCACTCCTATAACAGCTGTGCACAGCTCTATCATATAGTCTACATAGTGGCACACTTTAAGGTAAAAAGAAAATAAAAAGACTAAATAAAATTACATGATTGGCAGCGATTATGTCATGAGTCATCAAACATAAATGCAATCACATATCAATACAATATAACAAAATTATTACAAAATTATCGGCTCCAAAATATACTGTTGTTTACACCACTTTAAGATTGCAAAATTTTCAGATAGCAACATTTTACAAAAGCTGAACAACTTTGAAAATATATATCTAAACTTCTGTCTTTGTTAATGTCATTGTAAACTCGACACATTCGATACAAAGGGTCATTATAGGTAACATTGTTATTGCAACATGGCACATAAAACAATTTTTGTATTCTTTTACTTCCTATCTTCAAAGAGAATTGGCTTAACAATTCGCATGCGTCCCATTTTGCGTTTACTATTTTATACATAGTTACGAGATCGTTAACAACGCGTCGTGACTGCAGCGTACACAGACCAAAATGCTTCAACCTATCCTCATATGTGGGCAACTTACGTCTCATACCGAACTTGCAGCTTAAGTGTCGAAGGAAACGTTTCTGGATAGCTTTAATCCTGTCATTGTGAATATTGTAGAAAGGAGACCACTCAACTGAACCGTATTCCAACACACACCTTACCAAAGCGTAATATAGTAATATTATGCTCTCCGGCCTCCTAAACGGCTTTGTCGTTCTAAAAATGAATCCAAGTGTTTTATTTACCTTGGCAATAAGATAATCATAATGAGGACTAAAACTCAATTTAGGATCCAGTATAACCACGAGATCCCTTACTGTTGATTGACGAACCAATACAATTCCATCGATACTATACGGGTAAGTTATTGGTGTCCTTTTCTTCGTAAAAGTAATTAGATGACACTTTTCTATGTTCAACGACATATTGTTAATGATGCACCATTCTTGTAAGCGGTCTACATTGGTTTGTAATAAGGCACAGTCAGTAATACTCAATATTTCATGATAGATCTTTAGATCGTCGGCATAGGCGATACAATTACAAGTGATGGATTCCAACAGATCATTAATAAACACCACGAAAAGTAAAGGACCCAAATTTGATCCTTGGGGGATTCCAGAAACCAATTTTACAGGAATTGAGTTATAGCCATACACCGCGACCAACTGAGTGCGATTTGCGAGGTATGACTGGAACCATCTCAAAAGGTTGCCATGAATTCCGAGATGAAGCATTTTCTGGCAGAGGATACTGTGATCTACCCTGTCAAATGCCTTCGAAAAATCTGTGTACAACGAGTCCACTTGCACCCGTTTATTAAAAGCATTATTTAAGAAATGAACATACGTTAAAAGATTTGTGGATGTGGAGCGTCCCTTCATAAAACCATGCTGCCTCTCACTGATAATGGGCTTGAAGTAATGATAAAGATGACTATATATTAAACCTTCGAATATTTTACTAAAACAGCATAGAATGCTTACTGGGCGATAATTTTTTATATCTGTCTTACACCCAGACTTATGTATTGGGACCATTTTTGTTATTTTCCAACTTTTGGGGAAATATCCTGCCCTAAGACTTTTATTAAATAGTACCACCAGCGGCTTCACCAATACATGTATACAATTTTTTACTAATACAGCCGGAATAACACCGGGACCTGCGCCCTTAGATATGTCCAATGCATCTATAGCTGATTTAACCTCCAACTCAGTAATAGTAAGATTGGACAGATAGAAATTTGATTCGGGGAAATCTGGGGAGTATGCACTAGAAGAGGATACATTGTACACCGAAGAAAAATAACTGGCAGAAAGATTAGCTATGTCGGTACCATTATCTGCCGATTGGGAATTGTAATACATTTGACGTGACACGTCATTTGTCGCTTTTTTTGACTTTACATATTTCCAAAACGACCTTACATCCGTCTTGAGATTTTCCTCTATACGCCTCATGTAATCTTTATAGCACTGATCATATACTAACTTCGCTCTAGCCCTCAATACGGTGAATGTGTCAAAATCACATGTCAGTACCTTTTTACCTCCGGAAGTATTTGAAAGAGGATGTGACCAATCAATATCGGGTAAGTTAAAATCACCAACAATTAGAGTTTTATGATCCGGACACTGCAACATATTATTCTCACAGCACTCCAGGAACTCCAAAAAGTCCTCTTCAGTCAAATATGATGGTAAGTATGCATTACAGATGTTCAGTGTTATGTTTTTAAAACATATACTGACCCAAATATCCTCCAGAGATGAGCGCCACTGCAGTTTTTCAGAACACAATAGATTTCTTTTAACAGCAATAAGCACCCCCCCGCCGTGACCCTTCCTGTACTTTTTCATAAAATCATGTGACCTATCCCTTCGATAAACGACGTACCTTTTGTCAAATAGTTCCGTCGACAGCACAGAATTGTCAAGCCATGTCTCGCACAAACAAATAACATCATAATTACTTGTTAGTACAGAATCAAGCACATTCAACGTTTTAGTTTTTAGTCCTCTAACATTCTGATAAAATATTGACAACCAATCCATTACAAATAAAAAAAATAAAGCAATGCATATTACAGTAAAATCCAGAAATCAAAATGACAAAATATCTATTTACTGCAAACGTTCCAATACCTCACAATTCTTTACGTGAATAAAGTTAGCAGTTTCATCCCTGCGCATAAAAATCCGACCATTTCTCACCCATACAAACTTATATGATAGTGCCTTGGCTTTAGCTCTAGCAGCTGCGTGTAGTACCTTATTTGCGGGTGAGAGGTACTCAGACACATAGACTGGCGAACTAATACCGCCAACACCCAGCATCAAGGAATTCAACTTATTATTTGGATGTGATTTATTAAAACGCGCTACCGCCGAATAAAATTCATCACGACACCGCGTACTTCTCAATTTAGCTATAATAGCACGTGGTCTTTTGCTATCTTTGTTAACGCTTGCCACACGTGTACATGTCAAAATGTCAGTATCACTCAATTTAAAAGAAACTACCTCTGCGATTTTCTCTATTATATCTACTACGTTTTCGTTTTTGTGTTGGGGAATTCCTTGAACTTCGATGTTACTTTCCCTCAAGTACTGCTCCATAGTCTCAACACGTGCCGCCATGACGGAAACCGTCGAGCGAAGCTGATGACACTCGGCCTTCAAACTCTTGTAGTCATCCATAATTGCATCAGTAGTCTTGATGAGGTCATCGTACTGGTTACTCATATACTGCACCGAATCTTTAAGTTCTACCAGTTGTTCTTTAACAGGTGCGAGTTCCGCGCGAATGGCAGCTCGAACTTCCTCCCTTATAGTGGATATCATGTCAACTTTATCTAGTGAAGTGTTACCCTGGTTGACCAATCTCGATGCAGAACGCTGTGTAACATTACTGACAGGTGGAGAATCTTCGAGAATCTGACTATGAGTCTCCTTATCTACGCGTATCGGTGTATTCAAATTATCCCCCTTCGGGCGCCCACTGATGCATTTAGGGCATGTCCACTCCTTCCGGTTATTACCGGAGGCGCCATAAAAGCTGTAAAAATGCTTCTCAGTGACGTTTGCACAGACCAAGTCGTACATACCGTTGCAAGCACAGTACTTAAGTTTATTTTTACTTTCAATTACATTGAGACAGCCAGCACAAGTAACAATTTTAGCAGCCATATTAAATTCTAGAATATTATTACGGTTTACTATAGATTCTGGAGTTAAAACACTATATCATGAAATAACTTTCAGTAAAAAGTCAGTTTTTAGTCACAATCAGTATTCCTGTATTACTTCGTAGCCAATGATGTAGCAATTAATCGTAGTCTTTAGTGTGTAGCACAGTTGACGTCACAAACACGTAGCACAGTTAACGTCACAAGCGCGTAGTAATGGTAGGCAAACTTCGCTGCGTGACGCACTATAACTGGTGGCGCAACCGCACAGCGACCGGCCGCGGATACTCGGAGGCAGAGTTCGAATCCCAGCCAGACAAGGCGAAATTCAACCAAATTTGCAACGACACACAGCAAATGACGCCGGCGACCATATGACACCGATGACGCTGCCGAAGCGATCAGCACCACCTTAGCAGGCAAGAAAGTGAGGTCCGACAAAATCCAAGATGGCCGCTGGGTCTTACGGAATATGAGCCAAGATGAAAGAGGAGGCACCGATGATGGATGAGTGACGCCGACCAACTCAACAGATGAGAAAGTGAGGTCCGACAAGTTCTCCAAAATGGCCGACGGGTCTTACGGAATCCGCCCCAAGATAGAACAGGAGGCACCGACTCTCACACAACTCGAAAACAAAATTAAACCGATATAGTCCGAGAATCACACAGCACAATAAAATAAAACACAAAACAGAAACACACGTCCGCTCTCTATGATGTTCCGAAATGGTATGTTTATAACTACCTACTATTTTTATCTCTTTTCAGGGTGCTTTGGCGTCCGAGTCTGGCAGACCCCTCTATTACTACTATCACGCACAGCCCAGGGACTTACTATGATCCCGTAACTACTATTCATTTTTATAATGACTTTTGGAATGACGCATGTAGACGTTATTACCTTAGAACCTCATCTTAATAACATAGACGGAAAACTCTAGATATTTGCATTAAATCTGATTTACACGAATTTATTCACTGTAAGGACCTCTTCAACCCGCTTGAAGTGCTCTTACAATTAAATTTCATGAAATTGAATTCCTTATCTCATATTATAGCATCTGATACCACTACGAACCGATTTAAGAGATCTCTAGAGTTCGGTGGTGAAATACTAAAATTCTTCTTTGGCACCCTGGATGCTGAGGATGCCCGGCATTACGATGCTGCAATAAACGCTTGTCAGACAAGCGAGACTGAACTTTTTAACCTCATGAACGATAACATTCATGTAGTTAAATCAATGATAAATTCGTTCAATTCAACCATCTCTAAATTAAATAAATACGAATTCAGATTGCATTCACAATTAGACAAATTGAACGAAATTCTAATTCAGACGACAAAAACCAATAACGAATTAATTTATATTGCTAAAATTAGTAACTTATATATATTATATAACATTATTATATAACATGTAAATATTTTACATGGTTCTCTGCTATCTATATCTAACTCTCTTGAGAATATACTTAATACTATCTTATTTACCAAAACAAATGTCCTTCATCCCGCTGTTATCACTCCCGTCAACTTACTTAATGAACTTACAAAACGTAGTAACTTAATAAATAAAAGACTAGATTTTCCAGTTCCATTAAATTTAGAAACGATACATACATTGATAGGTGTTTTAAAATTAACTTCTTATTATTATAATAAAAAGATAGTTTTCTTAATTAAAATACCTCAAATTTCACCAACTAAATATATTAATAAATAATAATATACTAAATAACGCACACAATCAACATAGCCCCGCACTAGGGAAACCCTGTGTCGCGGGTGCCATGGACACACACATAGACAACCACAAATTACACCCAAACTCACGAGATAAATAATTATAGGCCATGCAACTATTTCTCCCGGCCCGGGAATCGAACCTGGGACCTCTGCGTGGCAGTCCGGCGTGGTGTCCGTTCGGCTACGGAGGCAGTTAATAAATATTGTATACAAACATATCCCACTACCAACTCCTCATAACTCTGAGATTCCAAATACTTTTACTCTTATTCATCCTTCTAAATCCTATCTCGCTATCACATATATGTTAGACTTCACTACGCACTATAAGGTCATTTAAAAGAATGCTCTAAACTTACTAATGATGACTCCATATGTCCCTTGACGAATTTGTATTCGACTAGTACTAATCCATCGTGTGAGACAAGATTCTTAACTGAAGTTGTGTTGTCTTTACCAATTGAATGTGATTCGAAATTATTATATGGTAATATTAATATCTGGCTTTTTGTACAATCTAAAAGTAATAAATTAAATGTAAGATGTAATTATGATATTAAAGATTATTATATTGTAGGCACAGGCATATTAGAATTAAGTAAAAATTGTATAGCATATTGTAAAACTTTTCAATTTATACCGTCAACGACGTCCTCTTTCACGTATGAAAATGACCTTACAATAGATTTTGATATAACTCAGGACGACTGTTGTAAAAGGGAGATACTAAACAAATCGATTCCTTTACTCTCACCGCTGTCCGTTAGTAACATTGACTTAGATTCTCTAAAACAAGCATCTCACCAATTACATGGTCTCGAACATGAAATAAATAAGTTCCAACAGGAATCGCATTTTGTAAAATATGCCCCTTACTATTCTGGATTTTGCTTATCTTTTGTATCTCTTATTATAATATGTCTTTGTTACAGATTATACTTTTGTTTTCAAAATAGAAACAAAAAATCAACATGTTGTGTGCAGATTTTCAATCAATGCTATAATAATAAAAATGAAAGACGTCAAACTAAATTAACCAACTCAATTGAAATGTCTTATATTTCTACATCAGAAAATAAAGATGATAAAAAATCTGTAAAATCTTTACCTGCGCGTCATTTCAATTATAAATCCTGTAGGTAAACTTGAAATAGTAAAAATAATAATAATAAAAACCTCGTAGTGAATTACTTTAATAATTGAATATCGATAATATGTACGCTTCCAAGAACAACACTATCTCAAAATAATCGTTAACAACAATCATTAAAATATACAAACAAACGGGCAATCCAAAGAAACCAAAGCAAAATTTGGCAAGATTTATTAATAAACTACACAAATGTGGCTAATTACATGAGATATTTGGGCTTTTGTGTGATTTATAGACAGAAAAATAACACGTGCCTGTACAGTATTACATTCGGTCGATCTTCGCTTTTTCAAATGCCACATCCCGTAATGCTGCAGCGACGAATTTTTATTAATACTTAATTGTTCTCACTGTCAATATTTTTGTCCATTTTATTTACAATACATGCGAGTAATTCATTAAAACACCTGGAAAAACATTTGTTTTGACATTGACGTACTTACCTTTGACAATCGTATCATGCACCTCATGTACTGCGAAATGGACACAGTTGGTATTTAAGATGACGTTACGTATTTTCGATTCCTGTGTTTGACACAGACCAATGTAATGCGCTTTATCTCCTTAGGCTTAAGACGGCATGCAATAGTTAAACAAAGATTGTCTTTGTTTAACTATTGCATGCCGACATGTTTATGTTTTCGACGTCGAAATGCATCATATACATACAGCCTTGGCCAAAAGTATTGAGCACCCATGATAACTCACAGTTTTTTGGGGAATATGAAAATGAAATAATTTGAAACAATTTACACATGTTAATATTACTATTTATTAAATAAAAATCAATATTTCGTGTGTCCACCCTTTGCCTTAATTACGGCAGAAATTATTTTTGGTAGAGAGCGGACAAGATTTTTACAGTCTTCAGGACGTATAGCGTTCCATTCTTGGCGCAGACGGCGGCGGCGTTTTAGTTCTTAATTTGTATTAATTGGGTGGCGCCTGACGTTGCGCTTTAATAAACCCCATAAATGTTCTATGGGGTTTAGGTCCGGAGACTAGGCAGGCCAGTCCAGAAGCTCAATGTTTTTTTCTCTAAACCATGTCATAGTGCTGGCAGATTTAAGACATGGCGCGTTATCCTGCTGGAATTTGACGCCATCCATATTTGTATCGCCAAAAAGAGTTGAAAATGAGGGCAGCAACGCAGATTCCTGGACGTTGATGTATTTTGAAGAGTTCTCACACACAAACGTTTCGCCAACTCCTGAATCAGTCATGCAGCCCCAGATCATTATGCTGCCTCCGCCGTGTTTTACGGTTGGCACTATACAGGCTGGACTAAATTCTTCGCCTGCCCGGCGGCGCACAAAAGTCACACCAGGTGTACCAAAAATCTGAAATTTTTTAAAAATGTAGTGACTTCGGAAATCTGAAATATTTTTGTTATTGAATTTTATTTTCAAATCACATCGCATTGTTTAATATCTTAAGAACGTGAAATTGTCTAACTCACCTCAAAGTTTGACTCGTCTGACCACACGACATTTGACCAATCTTCTTCGGTGAAACTTTGATATTTTAAGGCCCATTCATACCGAGCCTTCTTGTTGTTTTGTGAGAGCCATGGTTTCTTCCTGGCTTTACATCCTTTCAGACCAACTTCCTGAAACCTTCTTCGAGTAGTGCGAGCAGAAATAGGTCTGTTAATTTCGACAGAGAAATCAGCAGCGAGATCTGAAGAAGTTTTCTTCCTATTTTTTAACGACTCTCTCATTAACTCACGATCTGTGGTGATGCGTTTGCGCCCTGTACTGTATATGTTACTATGGGACCCAGTAGCGGCGAATCGCTCAATAGTTAATTGCACAGATTGGCGCGAACATTTCGCAGTTTTAGAAATCTCTACCTGTGATTTCCCTTGCTCATGCAGAAGTTGTATCTGCACACGTTGTTCTAAACTAAGTTCGTTTTTTTTAGGCACATTGCAACAATATCACTGAATGGAACTAAACAAAATACCAAAAGCGCACTAGATCACTGGATGTGTACGTAACGAATGATAGTAGTGAACTGAGAAATAAATACAAAAATCGTAAAATGACAAATTTTATGGCACCAGGTGTTTTATTGCTAGCTACGGTGTGGGGGGTCATTGTTTTTAAACCTTTGTAGATGCCAAAAAAATAATCCTTAACAATAGGACCTGTTTTCTGCAATACTTATTGTGCCCATTCGGGATTTATAGGGTGCTCAATACTTTTGGCCAAGGCTGTATAACGTCAGAGTTATTTAGATCAACATAACATGTCCTTTAGTTTTCATAGTCTAAGAGTTAAAATAACAGTTCACTTAATACAATGTTCGACGAGTCAATGCCTACACGTCACTCGCAACGTAGTAGGGTAGTCACATTTTTATTTTAATTGTAACTACAGCTTGTAAACACAATTTGAAAAAATATAGAGATATTAACATGGAGCAATACTCACAAGGACTGCTAATCTTCATACTACAGATCGCAACTCTGTAAAAGGTCAAAATTCCGTCCTAAACCTTCTGGAAATAGTTTATACTTAGGTATTCTAATTTCCGGGTGCACCTCACTTATACGAAAATTAAATAAACTAATTTAAAAACAAATACCGTTCATTTAATATAATTTTCATTTGAACCAATTTCACTTCCTATAATTTAACGTCATATAATTCTTGCTTGATATTACAATTCACATTTTATAAAAAGCTCATATTATAGTTATACGAGTATAATATGATGGTTACATCATTTCATATATTGTCAATTTAGACAATTTTGACGTGGTGTAATATCACTTTTTATACGTAATAAGTTTAAACCGGACTCGCCATGGTAGGCACTTGTCTGTTCGATAGTAGGAGTGTACCTAATTTAAAAGCCGGAAGTGCGGAGGGAGAATTGTTTTTCTTAATATACATAGTTTATAATAATAACTCTTTATTGCACAAAGAAAAGATACATGAAACACAAGTTATAAAGGACATATACAAAGGTGAGCTTATCTCTAGAAGAGATCTCCTCCAGCCAACCCTAACCTAGGTGAAAAATGAAGTTTGCGGGATTAATTATTGTACAATAAAATTAAAATTTAAATGTGAGTAAGAAAAATTTTTTAACAATATATATATACTTATATATAAATAATATATATACATATAAAGTATGATAATATATACATACATATGACAGACATACACACCTACATGAAATTTATATACATAAATACAAACATAAGCAGAATATATATTATAATCTAAACAAATTACTACTTTATAACATATGTTACCTATTAGCTATCTAATGCGTTCGACAGGTAGTGCTCTTTTAATTTATGTTTGAAAGATGCCACCGATGGACTGTCACGAATGCCAGCAGGCAGTTTATTCCACATACGAGTTGCACTTACCGTGAAAGGGTTGTGGAAGAATTTCGAGTTGGATTGGGGATTTATTAGTGATCTAGTGTCACAGAGGTACGTTTTGAGCGGGAACTGGGCGATAAGGGAGAAAAACGGGAACACAGATAATGAGGAAGCTGGGGGTAATGTAATGAATATTGAATGAATTTTGTAAAGGAGACAAAGAACGTGCATATATCGGCGAAGTCGAATTGGTAGCCATTTCAACTTAGGCCGAATTTCAGAGATACGGTCATATTTCCGTAAACCGAATATGAAACGGATTGCCAGATTTTGTAGGCGCTCCAGTTTGTTAAGCAGCTCCACAGTAGCATCCAAATAACAAACATAGTCGAGAAGAGGAAGTAGTAAAGACTGAGCAAGCATAACCTTTGTATTGAATGCAATCATTCTTCGTATTGAATCAAATCATCTTGCGCAGATA